TCGGAGTCACAGCTGCGATGGTTTAGGCACGGGCAGGCCTTGCGAATGTTTCCAGAAACGAAGTCATAATAGCCACTCGTGGCTCAATCAACGGCCGATGACACCGGGTGGAGAAAAGGATGAGATGAGGCACTTGTCCCCATTGACTCTGCTCCATATTCGAGTCATATTCTGCTGAAGCTCAGACGCAAGCACAAGATCGGGAACGTGGTTAACGCGTCTGCTCCTGACCCGAAAAGGCAATCAGGCACCGAAACTGCCTGGCTGATACTGTTTTAGGTAATAAAACTATGTGAGGCCAACCAAGCAATACAGGAGTCGAAAACCAACCTGTTCAAATGACACCCTATGAGTGTATGAATAAGACTACGGACTGTGCAGTGAGTCGTGAAATCCAGTAAACTGACAAACTTAGACGCACAAACCCATACGTTGACAGTACAGTAAAATGGGGCATGCAAAGTACCAAGTGTACGAAATCTCTCAGTGAACATATTCAATATCCGGAACACGATTTCCTTAGGCTGTTTATCAAATGTTGTCACCGACCTGACGAAATATGTGGCTCACACCTCGATAGTAGGCGGTCAAATTTACGATAAATAAACCCTGAGGTACAGAATCAGTTGTCAAAACTTGCACATAACAAATGAACAAGCATAAAACAACAAAATAAGCTGTGTGAAAGCGGATCAATAGGGACGATCGCGGCGATAAGAAACGAATTCTCCATTCTCCTAAACGCATGACGTCGACGAGGTTTTTGTACCTTTCCGCGGTATGGCAATTGTCGGAAATTATCGCTCGAATACGCAGGCCCTTAGAAGATATTTCTTTTCGCTGAAATTTACTGTCCGCCTCTTCTGCCACATCTGATCTTCGGCATACTTCTTCAGTCTGTCACACAAGGTGCTAGAACGAAGCAGCAAAAATTCCAGGGGTTCGCACGTGCCTTAAATACATGTGCACGATGTTGATACTCATGATAGCGTCGCTATTATTAGGTACAGGTGGCCGAGTTTTATGAGGGACATGACCAAGTCCCCAACCCTCTGATCGTTTTTCTGATCCGGCCATTGCTTTGGCAACGGCAAAGGTAAAGGCCAAACCATGCATATTTAAGTCGCCCTATCGTCTCAATTCGTGTCACTCGATAGGTCAAGTAGTAGCTTGTGCCTATAAGTGCGTCGTGTCTCGTACGTCACATAACCATTGAGGAATTTTGTACGCTTCGACCACTAGACAATGTCACATTCTAGAAAGGCAGTAGCACGACGATAAATCTGTCAGCCACTGACCCCCCCCCCTGTACCGCATGTGCAGTACCTCTGATCAGAAGTTTTACGATAGTATAGTGACATTTGTCATCGCCACTCTTCATACAAATAGCCGCAAGTAGAAGTCTAAAAAACCAGGTTCCGTCAGAGAGTGTTTAGTCATGTTCTTCCCTCAATCCATACGATCCTCTCCAAAAAACTTAGCTTCTCTAATAAAAATGCAGAATTCTCAAGGCTCATTATATAGAAGAACTACTACAGTATGGTTCTTTTCGGTCGGCCAAATCGAGTACCCTCGCTCCCAAGGAAAACGCTTGCAATTTGCGTCCTAAATGATGCATTGTTACCAGCATGATCATTCGATTATGGCGTTCCATCGTTAATGGCGCGTGAAGGCTGGCTTGGTAATGGGTTTGAAATAATTACCATCACCAATAACAAGTCGTTTGTTTGGCGTTTCACAGGCGGCGGCATTTGCACAGCTGTTTTTTCTCCTTCAGACACATATATCAATATGCCACGCTGAGCGATGCGATGCATCCCTCAAAGACATCAACAAATCATCACGAGGTGGCTGGTGAGTTTTGTGCAAGCGAGATGTCGAACGGTGGAAAGGAGGAGAGCTTAAGATATTTGGCCAAACACCTTGGAGACAAAGATTATGCTAACGACATCCATTGAGGTAGTGAGCAACAGTGATCGAGTGTTAAGCGAGCACGACAGCAGCAAAAGCGGGCCTTTTACTGAATCCATCGGAAGCAGACAGATGAGGAATTCCGCCAAAGAGTGAAAAAGGTGTGTGCTACGGAACAGCGCAACTGAGGAAGTCCGGTAGTTTAAATACCATAACAACTATGGCAGGAATTAAACACGAAACTTATCTACGTTCCTACATTTGAAAGTGTCCAGAATATCTGAACTGAAATGAAAACAACAACCGCCAACAGAATCCGTTTCTACAGAGCTGCAGTCAGGGAGGTTTGGACATATGGGCTAGACATGTTGCTTTTACGAGGACAACGTAGGTTAAATAGCTTGTGTAAGGTCAGGAGATGACCGCATAAAGGAAGACCACATCCTTTTGCTAACTGGCCATTTAAACATGATGACTACTCAGGGCCAAAGAAGACCGACATGACTTTATCGTCTGCGAGAAAGCGACCGAGTAACGCTACCGCATAAGCTGCTGAGGTAATAACTCAGACGTGCACGACGGAGGATCGGCAGCCAGTATATCACATGGATGAAGAAGTCTAAAGATAAACTGCTGACGATGAGGAGACTTTCTTTGGCTGACGTCATCAACGTATCTTAACGGGAAACAAAATCTTAAAGTCAAGATTAACGGTCATCGTGGATTACAAGTAGCTTGCAATTTTGCAAAACAGATAAAGATAACGATTAGAACAAAAACCAAATAAACCTAAGTACGAAGGTGAATCATGTTGCTTGCTATTCATGTCATTGGAATGCCGTGAATAATTCTAGCAGTTCTAGCAATGAAGTCAGATTTAATATGGTTAATATTCGTGTATACGTTACCGTCAAAAGTGGCTATCCGGATCACAGGTAAAAACTGAAATAGATTCGCTGTAATGAATGTCACTGGCAGTGTCTACATTTGGAGCTTTACGGAATATGATACGGGAAAGATAATAATATTGTCCTAGGGCTCCAACTGCGACAGTAATTATTAACATTTTCCCATGCAGCTCTCTTTATAGCATAGGAAAACTCCATTTAGGAGAAAGACGCGCAGAACCTCAGAATACAAACACGAAAGTATTAACCCAGCGGAGTTACTGAGTGCGTGGGTGGAGCATCCTTGACCGATCCTAAAAAACGGTGTTCTAAAGCCTTCAATTAAATTGTCAACCTCTTAAACTCACGAACTCTATTCGACCACTTCTGAGCAAGAATCCAGGACAAACCTTGAAGACTGACGAAGCAGTCATAAAAGAAAAAGCACCTCACTGTTCTCTCCTGACAGGTCATTCGGTATTTTAGTTGTTCCTCGCTTACCATGACCAGAATGGAAAGGGAAATATTGTGCAGGACCTCATTTGTTCATTCCATTCCGGCATGATGAATGATGATGAGTTAATATTTGACAATCACCCACTCCCTCGAATTTGAAGACGGATCAAAATGCGCAGATTTCAGCAAGCGTTTGCTTAAAACATGCTTCGTCGTTATAAAGACCATAACGTGCTGGTGCCTGAGGACAAAGAAGTAGTGGCACTTCGTGAACACGTATTGGACGTAAGCAGTAATCTGTAGCCCCTGAAATTTCCTCAGAGCAGTGGGAAGACTGGCGGCTGTCCGAATGGGCAGTTGCTGACAGCTGAAATGAACTTTTCTTCCGTTCTGACAAAACCGTGACACTTATCCCCAGCTGACGTCACTTCGATGCGTACAGTCTAACGAACCTGACAACCTCGTATAATCGAAGGTCTCGCCGAAATTCAGTCTTTGTCGTAGAGCTGCACAGCGTCGCACTTCGAGCGCTCTGAGGTCTAGGATCTCCCTGAGCAATTTTCCATTTCGATGCTCGGTTTCGAGATCCTTCCATCCAACCGCACTGCCAGCGTCAATCACGCGATTATCAAATTTATAATGAAGAATTTGGCCAAAGTGATTCAGAAAAGATTTCGGCGACCACTGCTCTCAAAAGATTCGATCGGCAGAGGAAGCCGTTTAAAACATCGATTGGATGAAGCGTAACTCGACGAAAAATCGAAAGTTATACCCTAGCAAATACGTGGAGCCATGGCAAAGTTAAGTGGTTCAGGAAACTCGTCGAGGAGCACGGTGCCATCACGACCAGTGTGAGTCACTAGTGTGTGAGGAGGGGTAATATAGTTGCTGGAAAACTACTGAGGCTTAAAAATGAACAACTTAACGAGGCAATAACCAACGCGTACTCAACCCCCTGTTCTCAGTTACCGTTACGGTCGTCTGCGCTGAATATGCTCATGCAATTGAAATCAAGACGAGTCTTCCGCTATTAGTCACGAGTAACGATCAGATTTAGCTGACGTCACCCTCTGATCTGACCTCACTTGGCATGAGCATGTCAAACAGAGGACCAAACGTGTATAGTGGAATTATACACCGCTCTGAGGCATAGAGGCTTGCACGCATCAGAGGAACTGCATTCGTTCATTTTCTACATACATAACTCCAGTTTTCAGTTAAACAACCTCCGTAATTTTCCTGGATTTC